GATTAAATACTTAATAACATTTATTAGTATTGGTCCTTTTTAACATTAAATTCTGCTGTTGATTTATAAACTTTTATTTTGAAAATTGGAGTATCTCTTTGGATTAGAGGACTTTTCTTTGCTACTTATTTGGTTATTAGTTATTCTGTCTGCTTCAGTCTTTACTTCGGAAACTGTATTTTGAGTATTTGGACTCTTCTTCCCTATATCAACTCTAACAGTGCCTCTGCCTAATTTACCCCTTTGGCCATTCCGTGAGTTGATCTCTTATATCTTAATATGGTTTTTTCAGGACCAAAGCCCCTGCAATCACGGGACATTCAATTGTACTGTAATGCTTTTCAAATCTAAGAATTATGTCCTCACATTACTGCCTTTTCCTAAAACCTGATTTATTTTCATTTCCCCAAGAGTACAACAAACAACATTTTAAATAATGTCTTTAATGTCATAGAATAAAGATTTTTACAGAGATAAATGTGTAAACCAAATATAAATTTCTAAGGTTCCTTAACCATCTGAATGGACCCCTTCTCTCAGCCAAAGGCATTCCAAAGTTAACATAAAAGACTAGTTCTGGCTGTGATGGGAAAGGGGGTCACACATGATTCATTACACCCTCTGGCATTAACATCAGAATAGATCTTAAGTCTGATAAGAAACATTTGCAATCTATTCTCCCTGAAACCTGCTACCTGAGGTCTCCATCTGCATGAAGAAACTGTGATCTCCACAACCCTTATAATTGCAACCCAGATGTTCCTTTCTATTGATGCCAGATCTTTAGATAGTAACTCTTTGAACCAATTGCCAATCAGGAAATTGTAAAATCTACCTATAACTGGAAGCTCTCACTTTGCGTAGTCCTGCCTTTGCAGATCAAACTAATGTATGTCTTACAGGTATTGTTTAATGTCTCCAATCTCCCTAAAATGCGTAAAACCAAGCTGCACCCCAACCACCCGGGGCACATGTCGTTAGGACCTCCCAAGGCTGTGTCACAGCATAGCCTTAAACTCGGTATATACTTTCTAAATTGATCGAGAGCTTTTGGCTTTACAGATGCTAATCTTTGGAGTCGTTAAATTATTTTATATCCCGTCATCTATTGATGTCAATTCAGAGGCAGGTGTACTTCACCTAGTGCTAGAAATTGAGAAATATTCTATTAGATTATGTAAGCCAATACTCACAGTCTGTAGTGAGCTTAGCCAGTGTGTTAGCAGATACACTTACCCTGTAGTCCCGACACCACAGGTGGGATAACAGCTCAACAGGCCAGTCTTTTTTTATTTTTTCATTTATGATTGACACATATGTTATCCTAAATAGCAGACAGAGAGGGAGGTTCTCTAAAAGAAAATGAAGTATTTTGGGAATGGGCATTACAATGGTAACGCAGGTGCCATAGCAAACTCTGCATATTTGGAGGGTAAAGGAAGACAATGACTTTTAAAGGAAAACTGAGGAGAACTATATAATTGTTTTGAGATAATGATCCTTGGTTACAAAGATCAGTAACAATGACATTGCCAGCCACATTGGACAGAAGTTGCTCTGCCAACATCTTTGTCCTTGCAGAAGTATTTTTCATGTAAGGTTTTTATGGGCTTTGTGTGAGGCTGTAGTTTCTGCAGAGTCTTTTGTGATAGTTCTTGTTGTCAGGCATTCATGCATGAGAACCCTTTCTCCATGGCCTTCCTAGACTTTTTTTTTTTTTTTTTGTAACTCAAGTGATGCCATTTTAATTCTGACAACTTTTGCATGGAACGATTGTACATATCTTTGGAGTGCTACCTGATATTTCCATATATGCAAACATTGTGTAGTGATCAGATAAGAGTAATTAAGTAGTATATCCATCATCTTAAATATTCATTATTTCCTTTTGATAGGAATATTCAGAAACCTCTCTTCTAGCTATTTTGAAATATAATATTCATTATTGTTAACTCTAGCTACCCTACCCTGCAACAGAACAGCAGAATGCATTCCTCTTGTCTCACGGTAGCTCTGCACCTGTGGCTCAGTCTCTCCCCAACCCCCTATTTGCCCTCAGTCTCTGGTAACCACTGTTCTAATGTCTACCTCTATAAAAGCAAACTGTTAGATTCCAAGTCTGAGCAAGATCACGTGGTGTTTGTCTTTCTGTGCCTGATTTATTTCACTTAACACAATGTCCTGCAGGTTCATCTATGTTGTTGCACGTAACAGGATCTCTTTCTCTTTTAGGGCTGAATAATATTCCTCTGTGTGTGTGTGTGTGTGTGTGTGTGTGTGTATACACCACATTTTCTGTATCTGTTCATCTGTTGATAGACACTGAGGTTGATTTTGTATGTTGGCTATTGGGAACTGTGCTGCAGTAAACATAGAAGTGCAGCTCTCTCTTTGACATACTGATTTTATTTCCTTTGGATAAATATCCAGCAGTAGGACTGGTGGGTCATATGGTAGTTCTCTTTTTCCCCATTTTCACTCAGCATAGTACTGGAAGTCCTAGACAAGGCAATCAGGCAAGACAAAGAAATAAAAGGCATCCAAATTGGAAAGGAGGAAGTCAAATTGTCCCTGTTTGCAGACAACATGATCTTACATATGGAAAGCCCTCAGGACTCCACCAAAAGTCTGTTTAAACTAATAAACAAATGTAGTAAAGTTGGGGGATACAAAGTTAACACACAGAAACTAGTAGCATGCCTATATGCCACTAGAAAACTATCTGAATAAATAAGTAAACAAAGCAATTCCATTTACAATAGCTACAAAAAATAAAATATCTAGGAATAAATTTAACCAACAAATATCTTTGAAATAAAAACTATAAAACACTAATGAAAGGTATTGAAGAAGACACAAGAAAATATAGCCCATGTTCACAGACTGGAAGAATTAATATTGTTAAATGTCCATACTACTCAAAGAGATCTACAGATTCAATAAAATCTATATTAAAGTCTCATGACATTCTTGACTGAAATAGAGAAATAATCATGAAATTCACATGGAACCACAAAAAATCCTAAATGTCAAAAGCAATCTTGAGCAAAAAGAACACAGTGCAGGCCTCATACTACCTGACTTCAAAACATACTACCAAGCTGTAATGAGCAAAACAGCATGGTGCTGGCATAAACACAGATACATAGATCAATGAAACAGAATAGAAATCCCAGAAATTAATTCACACAATCACAGACAAAGTAGTTTGACAAAGATCCCAAGACCACTCAATGGGGAAAGGCAGCCTCTTTGCGCCATTCTCTGTGGAGCTCCACCTTCACACCTGACTCTTACTTTCCATGCCATTTTTCACTAAATGTTTCCAATTATTAGATAAGAGGGTACAGGGCTTTTATCCATGATGTGGAATTTTTCCCTATTACAGTTGTTGTTCTTGTTGTTGCTGTTTTCATTTCACTGGAAAATTGGGCAAATAGCCAGTGTCCTGGCTCTGGATGCCTGGTAATGCCAAGGGCCTCCTGTGTAACCACTGCAGTCATTCCCCACAGGGAGCAGAACCCTACAACACAGGCCACACAGTTTCAGATCTTTCAAAGACCTTTTGAAACGATGCAAGCAGTCATTATATGTCATTATATGTCTTTTGAAATGGGGCAATCAGCCATTATATGTCTGTTTTACTGAAAATAAAACTGAGGTCACAATCTAAATTTACAGATTCTTTCTCATTCGAAATCATTTTGTCGCTAAATTTATTTTCAAAATTCTGGGTGAGAATGGCCTGACTCGTGGTTCTCTGGCCTCATGACTGTGGACATTTTACAACACTCCTCCTATCTCCCCAGAGCCTCAGTGAGAGCCGGGGAAGGTGGGCCCAGCCCCCACCATCTTCCTCCAGGCACATCTGCGGGCATCAGTCTGGAAGTCGGGAGGGACTTGAAGTGCTAAGTCTAAAAAGGGGAGTTTTTAACTATCTTGCTGTCTATTTTGAAATTAAAGTATAAAATGCAAAGAAAAGAACAACTGTTAATCTTTTACGCGTCCGAATCAATGATGAAATAGTGAGATTTAAAGTGAGTGAGGTTACCGTCACCATGGTGAGACTTCGACTTTAATGGAAGAGCCGAGTTGCCGGAAGGCACGGGCCATCTTTAAGAGGAGCCACAATCTGACGAATCTTTTTCTGTGTGAATGTCAGCGTTTCCTAGACAGGAACTTACAGGCCGTCGCAGCGCAGCGACGTCAGCAGTAACAGCAGGGACGGTAGCCGGTGAGGCCTCGGGCTCCTCAGGGCGCGCTCTGCACCGCGGGCTCCGGCTTGCACGTGTAACCTCGTAGGCTCGGACAGCCGGACACCGGGGTGTGTACCCGGCAGAGCGCACGGTGAGCGCTCAGAAATATGCATCCTTCACCGTGCGGCTGACCAGCGTCCTTCTGGTACCAGCCCCCTCGCCCCCAGTGACACAGGGACCCCCAGGCGCAGGTTCCACAGCAGGGCCTCCTTCCCCGCCTCTGGCGGGAGCCCCCGCTCCACCTGGCCGAGGGAACCTCCTTTGCTTGGTGGGCGTGGGTGCTTGGAACCCTCCCCGCTTTTGCACAGGAATTAGGCAGAAGTCAGTCTTCTCCCAGGTAACAAGCCTCGGACTTCAGTTCCACGTAAGCCCGGGAGCCGTGGCCAGCCTAGCTTTGTCCGACCCTGGCTTCAGCAGCAGAGGAAGCAAATGAGGTAAGTATCCTCTGTGAACTAGGTACATGTTCCTATTAGACTGAGCAAAAGATGCCATTTGCTCAACACCGTTGGAACAATAAACGGCTGAGAGCGTGTAAAGTGAGAGGTAGTGAGAGGTGAACGTGGAGCTCTCTGGCCGGCCCTCTCATGGGAGAAGGAACGGGGAGGGGAGAACAGGGGCCCTGGATGGGGAAGGGGCCCAGGCCCAGCCAGACTGTCTGTCTCCCCCCACAACCCCCGCCCTCCCCGATCCTCCAGCCCACTCCTGAGTCCCCTGTGCACCTTACTCGTGAACAGCACGCAGGATTCACACACGGCATCTGGGCGGTCCTTGCCTTTGCTGTCCCTCAGGCCCTCTTCTTATCCTGGGGATGTCAGATCGAGTCCAGGCAGCCCGATCACCCCAGGCAGTCGCCGTCTGGATGAGAAGGTGCAGCTGCCAAGCTTCTGAAGCTGTCAAGATACATCTGAAAGAAGGACCAACTTCTTCAACAGGCACAGACAAGACCTTTGGATTTAGAGAGTGTTTGCCCCAAATGGTTGTCTCAGACCTCCCGGGAATCCTCTGACTCCTTTCAGAGGAGACCTCTGTGGCCCCTGATGAGTCGGGGGCTGCCACACTTCCTCATGCAGGCCACCGGCCTGGGGCTCCTTCATCCTTAGTCACACTCCTCACATGTGCTCTTCGGTGCTTTTCTTATTATTTTTATTGCACACGTTGGTGCAAATTGTGATCTTATCTTAATAAAATATATACAATCCAAGTTGGGAAAGGGAACTGCCATGTAGACCATAAAGGGAATTAATTATGCCAGGGAATTAAGGTACAGACCATTTTCTTCTGAATATTGAAAAAACGTATTTTCAAAACTTCAGTCAGTCCTTTCTCCCGTGGTAGCTGAAAGTCAATAGTGTCATTAAGTTAGCTGCACTTTCGTATTTATTGAGAAACCTACCAAAAGGGCCAGCATCTGTCGGCTTGCCCTGCTGGGTCGTTCTCCAGCCGGGCCTCCTGAGCTAACATTTGGCATCTGCAGGGGGCATCTGGGCAGGTGTCCTAGACAGAGGCTGGTCGGGAACTGGCCAGAAGCCAGCCCTGCTGCGTGTTTGCCCCTAGGGTTGCCTGTCACACACAGGGATGTGCTTCAGAGACCTTTTAGCAGGACAGGCCTGGGCTTCCTCCTGACAAGTTTATCACTGGTTTTTAAGCCTGAGCCAACAGAGGTGTTCATTATGGGATTCAGTACATTGTTTCTGAAGGGCGGTAATTCTAAATTAGATAAAAGAAAACTGTTTTTCTAATGCATCGATTATTTTTAAAAATAAAGCAAAAGTATTTCACACGGCAAATGATTCCTAATCAATGGTTATGAGTGATCTTACATCTTTAGCTTTGTCGTTTGGAACTTTTGTCTTTGGTGGCTGGCCCCATTCCAGATGTGAGGGTGATATTTGTGCAGAGAGAAAGAGGATGTGTCTGGTATCTGACAGTTCTCACAGAGTTAACTATAAATTAAATGAGGATGTCTACCTGCAGAGGGGTGGGGCTTTTTTTTGAGACAGGGTCTAAATCTGTCACTCAGGCTGGAGTGCAGTGATAAAATCACAGCTCACTGCAGCCTCCAACTCCTAGGCTCAAGTTTGCCTCAGCCTCCCGAGTAGCTTAGAGTACAGGCTGGCACCACCATGCTTGGCTAATTTTTAAATTTTATTTTGTAGAGACGGGATCTCACTTTGCTGCCCAGGATGGTCTTGAACTCCTAGGCTCAAGCAGTCTTCCCTCTTTGGCCTCCCAAAGTGCTAGGATTACAGGTGTAAGCCACCATGCCTGGCCTGTACTTGAACCATTAAGTAAAATTGTTTTTGTCAGACTCTGAATAATACACACCCTCATTTTCCCATTGGAAAAATCTCTCTCAAAACATGCCATTTAGGTGAGATATTCAATCAGAGCCCCCCTCTATCCTGGGGCACGCAAGCAAAGTAAACCAATCAATCCCTCCCCTTGAATTTAAATTCTTGCCGAATGGGGCAAGTTGGGATTAACCGAGAATGGAGCCAACGGTGAGCCCGTCACGAACCTCTTGTCATCTCGATCAACCTTGTTATCTTAATCACGTGAGTTTACCTGGAAATATCCTGAAGTCAGCTGGCTAAACTGTTCTTAATTCTGTTAAGTATTAAATATGTTTCCAACAAAGCCAGGCTTTCTCTAATTATCCAGCCAGTGATCAAAGTGGTGTAATAATAGAGGAAACTTTATTTTACAGAAGAGTGCATAGCAGCACTATTGCTTACCTTGCACTGAGGCAGGAAGGACGCTTCAAGCATGAAAAGAAGCGTGAAGTTTCTCATCTTAGTGTTGAAAAGGGTCTTATGTAGTTGAAGGTTTTGTCTTCCTACAACCAGCATTGATTTAGGATTCACATTCAACTTACCTTCCAGTGCCTGCAGAATGTGGCGTTAGGATTTTTTCCTTTTGCTTCTTTGTAGGTGAACTATTTCTTCCAAGTGGAATGCACGATCTTATGCCGTGACTTTGTTCTGTGCTCTCCGTTCTATTTGAAATGCCTGGAAGAGTGCATGGGAGACACTCAATGGATATAACTGAACAAATGTGAGAAAAAAAAATGTTCTCTACTGTCTTTTCTACTTGCATTTGAAAAGCAATTACAACATTCTTGATCATTCTTGATGTAGTGACCCAAATTCTGCCCTTCATGCCCCCAACATTGTACTGAGAGCAACAAGAAATAACCAGATGAGTAAAGACCGTGTCAGAAGTTGGGGTCAGGGGATGAGGAACCTGCCAGAGCTTTCCAGATTTATAATCTCTTGGCTCCCGTGAGCTAAGAGATGCAATTTCCTCTCAGATTTTCTATATAGCTCCTAATTTTTTCAAGTAGGTCAGAATTTTACCCTAGCAGAGAGTGGGGGAGAACTCGCGATGTGTTCTCTACTCATGAAAATAAAACTGTGAGTTTCAGTACAAACACCTCTATTATACTGATGTGTAGGAGCCATCTCTTTTCCAATGCCATAATTTTAATGCCATGCAAAAAGCACATTTTAAGATGACGTAACTGGAATGAAAAAACAACAAAAACATGAAATAAAACCATAAAATATAGGAGAACAAGATCACGGGAAAGAAGCAAAAATACATGGTCCTATTGAGCTCCAGATTCATGTCGGAGCTCAGAGAAGCCCAGCAGAAGCGGTTCCTGGGAATGGAGAGTCAAGTGTGGCACATGTGAGAGCAGCTGTCACTGCCATGTGGCTCCCGAGACCAGGCTGGGCTAAGCCTTTACAGCTCTCTCTGGAGCCTTCTGCTCAGGCAGCCCCCTCTGGAGGGAAGCCTGGAGAGGAAGAGGAGGACGTGACTTGCTAAGTCCGGGAGGACAACCACAGTCCCCGCTGGCCAGTCCCTGCCCCTGCGATCACCAGTGTTCCCAACGGGGCTGAGAGCCATCAGTGGAAGGGTGGGCTCTGGAGCTCACACCATCCTGGGCGCTGGAGCAATGGCAGAATTGTGGGGATGAAAGAGGCAATGTGAGAAGGACAGTGATGCCTCCTCTCAAATTAAGCCTCGAGATCATATTCGTGAAGAACTCTAAGCTAAGGACACAAAATCAATGGGTTTATGCTGGAGTCATTCTAGATGCAATTAAAATAGCAGAATAATAGATACTCCAAAAGGCAAATAAATAACATCCACATAATTGAACAAGAAATTATGAGACAATTGCTATGAATAAACCAAGAACAAGTATATGTGTAAAAAATTAGAAATTTTAAAAATAAAAATTGTAGCCATTGGATAAAGCAATAAAACAAATGAAAAATTAGATGAAGCCCTAAATTAGATATATTTCCATGGATCTATTCCATATTCCAGTGTGGCAGCCAAAAACCAGATGTGGTTATTCAAATTTGCATTAATTATAAATAAATTAAAAGTTTATTTTCTCTGTTGCACTAGGCAGATTTCAAATGCACAATAACTCTGTGGCTTGTAACTGGGGTGCTGCATAGTGTGTGATAGAAGACTTCACTCATTGCAGACAGGCTACTGAATGGTGCTGTTCTGGATGATTCCCAAGTGAATGAACAAAACACACACACACACACAATTTTCATCCTATAGTAGCTATTTTAGAGAACAGAGAATGTGTAAGGTTGCTTAATTCATTTTATTTTATTCTCTGTGTAGGAAACTGACAAGGCCCATGTAAAGAAAAAGAAATAGTAGGCTTATATATTTTTTTGAAGCACAAAGAACCTAAAGAAAATGATGCAAATATAATTTAGCAGCATAATTACATATTATAGGAATTCATGCTTTCAACCAACTTTAGAAAAACTAAGAATGACATTTCTTATATAAATGAATTAAAGAGGAAACTATATATCCATCTTTATAGTTGTAGAAAAATACAATTTTTAAAAATAATTTTTGTATAAGCTTTACTACCTAACGCCAACAATAAACATGTAGAAGATATAACTATACATGATATAATTAAATATATGGTGTGTGGATATGTATGTAGCTTTAACATTTATATGTTATCTAAGCTATATATAAATATATACTCAAACATTCAAGAAATATAGATTAACATATCTATTAGATATAGATATCAAAAATCTCAAGATGTTACAGAAAAATCTATAAACGTCATGATATAAAACTCTGATTAAATACCAATATATGTTAATAGATGAGAATCCTTAAAGTACACAAATTTTAAATGGCCCAATATTCCGCATTTTGATATCTGCTTTACAGAGAAACACACCCTCAGATAAATTCTTGATGCATGCATAGAATGTACATAATACCATTCATTGTAATAACGCAAAGTGGAGATTTTGTTCAAAAGATACAAACTTTAGTTAGACAGGAGGAAAATGTTCAGGAGAGGCACTGGGCAACACGAAACCTGCAGTTAATAGCAATGTATTGAATACTTGAACATTGCTAAGAGTAGATTTTAAATGTTTTCACCACAACAAATGATAAGTATGTGAGGTAATCGATAAGTTAATTAACTAGATTAAATCATTCCACAATATATACATTTATTAAAACATCATGTTGCATATCATAAATATATACATTTTTATTTGTCAATTAATAAATAAATTTAAATGACAAATGCAAAACAAAACCAAAACAAATGGAGACTTTTGCACTTGGAAAGAAGTGACGTCAGTAAGATGGCTAGCCAGACCCAGAGCTGGCCAGCCCACCGTGTGCATGCATGTGCCCCTGACCTGAGACAGCCTGGTGAGCCCAGCCGCAGCACAGCCTAATCACCACTGAAAGAGACTCTTAGGCTAGGCCAGTAAGACACTCACAAACATCACTAGCATGGATTATAGGTGAAGAAATTACACAGAGGCTACACAGCAGCATCTACCTAAAACTAAGTACCAACTTACACCACAACACCCATCTTACTTCCACCAAACTTACACCACAACACCCATCTATATGAGAAGGTCTTTCCTTAGAGGTAACTGTTTCACTGATTGCATAGACATCAAATAGGAACACATCAAACATGAAAAAGTGAGGGGCACAAACATTTTCCAATAACAGACCCTAATCATAAGAAAATATAGGTGTACAAAGTGCCAGAAAAATAATTCAAAGTAATAATCTTAAGAAAATTCAGGGAGGTATAAAAGAATACAGATAGACAGTTCAATACTATCAGGAAAACAATGTATAATCTGAATGAAAAATTCAACAGAGACGGCTATCATAAAAGAAAAACAAACCGAAATCTTAGAGCTGAAGTACTCAATCAATGAAATTTTAAAAATGCAATGGAGAGGCCGGGCGTGGTGGCTCACGCCTGTAATCCCAGCACTTTGGGAGGCTGAGGCGGGCAGATCACAAGGTCAGGGTATCCAGACTATCCTGGCTAACACGGTGAAACCCCGTCTCTACTAAAAATACAAAAAACTAGCCGGGCGAGGTGGCGGCGCCTGTAGTCCCAGCTCCTCGGGAGGCTGAGGCAGGAGAATGGCGGGAACCCGGGAGGCGGAGCTTGCAGTGAGCTGAGATCCGGCCACTGCACTCCAGCCTGGGCGACAGTGCGAGACTCCGTCTCAAAAAAAAAAATAAATAATAATAATAATAATAAGTATCAATTTTGAATTTGAATAGTCATCTTGAAAACTGCCAATTTCTTGGCTGACGTCTTGTCAGATCTGATGAGTTTATCATTGTTTTTAATCTGCAAATATAGGTGCCAAATATCGGAAAAGCAGGACCTGGGAGAATTTGCTCTTTTATTATGTTTTGTTGTGCTCATGAGCTTCACTGCATCTTCCTCACCGACAGCTTCCTTACAAACTCTTTTAAAGACACGTTTATATTGTAGGGCTCAGTTTATTTAAATCAGGTTTGCACTTTCTGTACATCCACTTGATTGGCAGTCACACTTGGATGAGTGGGAGCCCAGACGCAAGTGCCTGGGTGTGGGGACGATGGCATCTTCCATATGTGATGGGGACACGTGGGTGGTGGGCATGGGAGTGAGGGCGTCTTCCCTATGTGATGGGGGACTCGTACGTGGACGGTGTGGGACATGCCCCATATCCCCTGTATGTGATGGGGTCATATAGGTGGGAGGTGTGGGGGTCCCGGCGTCTTCCATATGTGATGGGGACACGTGGGTGGTGGGCATGGGAGTGACGGCGTCTTCCCTATGTGATGGGGGACTCGTAGGTGGATGGTGTGGGACATGCCCCATATCCCCTGTATGTGATGGGGTCATATAGGTGGGGGGTGTGGGGGTCCCGGCGTCTTCCATATGTGATGAGGACACGTGGGTGGTGGGCATGGGAGTGACGGTGTCTTCCCTATGTGATGGGGGACTCGTAGGTGGACGGTGTGGGACATGCCCCATATCCCCTGTATGTGATGGGGTCACATAGGTGGTGGGTGTGGGGGTCCCGGCGTCTTCCATATGTGATGGGGACACGTGGGTGGTGGGCATGGGAGTGACGGCATCTTCCATATGTGATGGGAACACGTAGGTGATGGGTGTGGGGGTGACGGCATCTTCTGTGTGTGATGGGGGACAAGTAAGTGGTGGGTGTCGGGGTGCCCAGCATCTTCCCATGTGATACAGGACATGTAGGTAGTGGGTGTGGGCATGTGGGCATATTCCCATGTGATGCGGGACATGCCCCGCAGCCTCCGTATGTGATGGGGTCACGTAGGTGGTGAGTGTGGGGGTGACAGCATCTTCCATATGTGATGGGGGTCAGGTAGGTGGTGAGTATGGGGGTCCCGGCATCTTCCCATTTAACGTGGGGCATGTAGGTGGGTGTCGGGGGATCCAGCATCTTCCCATGTGATGTGGGACATGTAGACAGGAAGAGGATGATGCAGCTGATCCGTGTTCATGGATGACACGTTTCTTTAAAGCCATTATGCGTCAACGTCCTAATTGTAGCTCCCACCCCAAAGGGCCATCTGTCCCTCCATCAACATTCTAACTGTAGCTCCCATCCCATAGGGTCATCTGTCCCTCCACCAATGTTCTAACTGTAGCTCCCACCCCAAAGAGTCACCTGTCCCTCCAGCCCCAGGAATACAGGTCTGCATTTTGGAGACTTTCCCTTTAGAAAATCGTCACCATAGCAACACCTAGTCACTGTCAAAATTTCAATCCTTTTATAAAAACCAGAAAGGCTAATTTTAAATCAGCTTTGATTTCATTATGGTTTGGACATTTTATTACCGTATTTCCGTCTTACGTTTTAATCACCACACCCTAAGGAATGACTGGACTCATAGTTACTTTATAATTATACAACTACTTGATTTAATCCTCTTCAAATTGGCTAATTTTGATTTAGATTTCTTTACTCAACCAGTATCAAGCAAGACAAATAGTCAGGCCCAGGCAAATAAGGAGCAAATACAGGACTCCATTTGGAGATAATTCAGCACCTGCCATAGAGTAACTGCTAACGCTGGGATGTTCACCGATACAGCCTTTCACTCCTTCCCACCACCATCGCTACCACTTAGAACTGCAGTCGGGCTGTTTCCTGAAAAGCATGTCGTGATAAAGTGATGGAAACTAGTACTGAGCAAAACCGCGGTGCTGAAAGGATGGTCCTAGGCTCACAGTTCCAAAGAAATTCTGAAAGGAGTGGGACCATCACAAATTATAACAAGTTTAAAGTGCAGTAGCTGAGATGGTTTTATGTTGATGTTGTTCTGCGAGAAGAGACACGCGAAAGAGTCAAGAGGTAAAACAAACTGCAAATAAACGTTAATTAGATGATGAGGCTGGCATTTCAAGTAAGCTGGAAAATAACAGATTAGTCCACAAAACAACCCTGGGACACTTGGCAGCTGTTTCTGTCAGTTAAATGTGTGTGTGAGTGTGTGTGTGTGAGTGTGTGTGAGGGTATGTATGTGAGTGTGTGTGTGCGAGTGTGTGTGTGCAGCTAGATCTCCACCTGACTGCTCAGGACCAACCAATTCCAGAAAATTCAAAAACTGAAAAAAAAATGGAAAATACTTAATCACTGGTGTGTGTATTTTAAATCTATGTGTGGGAAAGTTTTATTTTTATGCGACATGCAATCCTTTGTTACTGTAAAGTAAAATGTTTATACATTGGACTGCAAAAAGTTAAATGTTAATTAGCTTGATTTAATCATTCCATAATGTATATATTTCAAACAATGTCTTGTACAAGATAAATATATACAACTGTATCTGTCCGTTAAACATAACCAAAATAATAACAATAAAATAAAATAAAAGCGATGGGATGCCAGTTGACACCAATCAGGAAGGCCAAGACTAAAAAGCTGGTCAGCAGTGCTGGGAGGAGATGTGGACTTGCGTGGGCTCAGGCCACACTGGTGGGCGTAATGGTGCAGCCACTTTGCATAACTGTTCCTCAAAATGTTTATCCTGTGTCCAGCGATTCTTCAACTAGCTTATAACCCAGGAGGAGCCAGAACATCTATTCACACGAAACTGGCATATTATTGACAATAGCCAAAAAGTGGAAATCACACACAAGTCCAGTGTCTGGTGAAAGGACAGACAGGCATGGCGGAGCCACACGGGACAGTAAACAGGAATGGACTCTGGCCCACGCTGCAGTGTGAATGAAGCCTGAAGCTGCTGTGCCATATGGGAGATGTCAGTCATAAAAGCCACATGTCGTGTGGTTCCGTTCCTGGGAAATGTCTGCAACAGACAAATCCGTAGGGACAGAAGGTGAATTAGTTGTTGCCTGGGACTGCGGCAGAGACAGGTGGAAATGGAAAATGACGGCTAATGAGTTAAGGATTTCTTTTTTGAGTGATGAGAATCTTCTAAAATTAGATTGTGGTGGTAATCGCACAACTCTGAATACACTAAAACAACACTGATCAAGGGAATTTTATGTCGGTGAATTATATCCCATTACAGCTGTTTTAAAACAGCTTATAGGTTAAAGAAATAATCATGACTTAAAATATAAAATATTAAGTTGATGCAAAAGTAATTAAGGTTTTTGCCATTTGGCAAAACATGTGTCGCCAATCTAATACTTGAAAATATGATGATGAAATGGACATCTATGGACACATTGGAAAATTTGTTGGATGCAGGCAACATGATTTTAAAGAATATGGTTTTAAATAGTATATTTTACAAGTGTCCAGTAGCACCTGTACACTGATGGAAACAATATATCCTACATTAAGTAACATGGTGGCCACTTGCCCCATGCAGCTTTTGAGTGGCTGACGTCTGGCTGGCATGACTGAGGAACCAAACTAAAAGCATTTGTAATTTTAATTTTAATGTAAATAACACATGTCTGTAGCACATTATTTGATTAAATGCTTGGAAATGATTGAACTAGGCCTTCAACTCCCTCATATTTAAAATCAGCATGAAAGACAATAAAAACATGAATAACAAAGACAAAAACAGAAATTTGTGAAATGGAAAATACGTAATCTTTGAGTGATTACCATCATCCACAACTCAGCTCCTGCAAAGAGTAACCGCCTGGGCACAGGATTGTAATAAAGGGAGGGTGAGGAGGGAGAGGGAGACAGACGTGAGAAGCAGAACCAGGAGGTGAATCGGCCGCCCAGACACTAGCTGATGTCACTTTGGCAGTGCAACAACCAACCTGGGTCTCCTGAGTGTGGGCGAGGACGGAAATGCTGGCTCTGAGCCTAGATGAGGCGTGTGGCTCACAGGAAGGCGTGGGCTCGGATCAGGTCTCGCTGCACAGGCCGAGCACAGTGAGTCCAAGTCACTGGAAGAAACAGGCTGACTCATGGAGGACCCGTCCACAAAGAGATGAGGAACCGCTTTCCTCCTGACATCATACTGGACACGTGCCGCAGATGGATTGGTGTGAAAATGACCTTTTTTAATTTTCAAAAGAAAATGACCCCAGGTTTCCAGCCCACACACTGCTGCCTCTCCTTTCGTTAGGATTCCTTTCATGTAATCACTTCTGAAACAGAGAAGCTGAGACACATCCCGTGACCTTTCTCTTATGTACAGACCATAATCACATGCTCTTTGCTCCCTGGGTTTCAAAACAGCCTTTGGGAGAATCAATAAACTCTGGGCAGGCCTGACGGGTAGTGGACAGCCATGAAGATTCTGTGTCTTTTATCAGCTTCCCTGGCTACCTGCAGGAGAGACCCCATTCTCCTCCCAGACTCTGCGAACATGTCACCCTAAGACCTTCTCCTTCTCTTTCCTGCCAGGCCACGAGAGGCATCCAGAGCCTACCTGGCGTTCGGCAAGCCTGGCTGTGGCACAGCCTTCGGTACTCGACAACAGCGTCAAGACTTGCATTCTTAGGTGAATAAACTCACTCTGTACAAAGCCCCCATCCCCGGATGCATTACGGCCACTGAACATGGCCTTGGTGATGATCACTAGGTGAGTGCAAAGCGGCATGCTAAGCGTGTGGGCATCTTTTATGGCCACGTTCCCACGCTGTGTTTTGTGAGATGGATTCCAGGAAGACGACTTGGTTCCTCTTGGGCCCAAGTGTAACGATCACTAACCCTCTTCGACGCCGGCACTGCATGTTCCCTTTGACGGCTGCTTCTCCCTAGAATCCATGGGGCATCTGCAGCACTCTGGGGAAGACAGGTTGAGTTAGGGCAGCTGGGAGCTGAGGTCAAGTCACTCCAACCAGCACTGACTGTGACTCTGGGTGAGTTACGTTGAATTTCTACCTGTATTACGTTGTTTATACATTTGTTCATCTTAATCTAAAAATGAAATCTCTTCCCGGCAACTCTCTTCCAGTTTTATCTCCAACGGATAAAAAGCTTCAAAGTCACTGCTTCCATGCTCACCACAGAAACACTGAAAGGCTGGAAGCTGAGGACTGTGTTTTAGATCATCACAGAATTGAGGTCACAGGACCCCCATCACTAGAGAGAGAAACAGTCAGAGCGGCTGGGATGAGAAGTCACAGCTGGACCCCTGGACAGGAGACACAGCTGCTAATTGGCACGTTGCTGGGGCTTGTTGAGGACGAGCTTGAGAGTTGAAAACTCTGGGCGGGGGACACGCTTCCTTGGGTTTTCCTTCCAGGAGCCCCTTCATGCTCTCAAGTGAAGACTGTTAAAAATCTCGTTCTGCTTCCATCGGTGGGAGGGAAGGTAAAGATGCGATAACACACTCCAGGCCTCTCTGTGACAAACACCCGTCCTCAAGCTGAACTGACTTTCGGGACCATTCCCTGACCTGAGGGGTAACTGAGTGACCAGCCTCGTGCCCCGCTGGCATGAGGGAGTGGGGTAGAGAGGAAAGGGTGTGTATGCGTCCAGGGTCACAGCCAGGGCCCCAGGCACACACACAGCCCAGGATTAGCACTCACTCCGTTTTGTGAAAAATTTATAAAGTGTATGAAGATTTCTGTTTAAGCTGTTGTTTTTAGGAATTACTTGGGGCTTGAGATTTACTTCTAAACTAATTATGTAAAATACATAGGTCAAGCCCTGTGCATTGTGCAGACTTGTAGTATATTAACAATCATAAGAACTCTATTCATTGTATGTTTTAGGGTAGGGTTATGCCATATAATAACTTTTATCTTATGAAATCCATCTGGCTGTCAAGTAGCAACACTTGTATTATAACCTTCTAACAGCACAGATGAAAAGAAAGCTCATAGAAAATACGCATCTCACATGCTGGAAACATGTTTCCCTCCTCTTCTCTTCTTTCATGTCCCAGATTAATTAGTAATTCTTTGAGGAATGTAGGTGTTGAGATTTCTTTCCAAATAAAAGAGTTTGTTCTGGAGAATATTAAGAGCAATAGTGAAAGAAGGTGTCAGCTCTCATGGAACCAGCAATTACTTACAAAGATATCTGCAGACCCCAAACTGGCCATTTTATGAAAGTGTGAGGAGCGTTCCTTCCAAATCCCAGAGGTGAAGCTGCCAGGCTGACAGCAAAAGGGCAGAGCAATTTATTCTGGTCGAGTTCTCCCAAAGAAAAAGCTAGCGGATGAAACTCTCAACTCTGAAACAGCGGCATTTCTAAAAAACAACCAAAATAACATGTACAAGAAACCACCATTTACACAAATGACAAATCTAAACATTAGCTCTCCCCATATAATTAACGAAAAATGATTAGAAGAAAGCTGCACAAAAGCGCAATCTAAAACCTGTTTCCCCATCCTAAGTAAGAAGTAAAACTGTGCAGCGGCAATTGTAAAACATAGTTGAATTGATAGAAACTCTTTAAATATTGAGCAAAAGATCATTTCCCACAGGATTAATTAGTAATCTGAAAGGCATAGAAAGTTGAAAAACTTTCAAATTGTGTATGTATGTATGTATGTATGTATCTATCTATCTATCTATCTATCTATCTATTTTCCTCAAACTTATACTCTCAGGCCATTCTTTTGCCTATAATAACCAACTCTTAGATAATAAACAGGAAAACAACTTAAAATGGCAAAAAATGTAATATGAAGAAAGAACATTTACAGGATAACAACTTTGGAATGAGGTGTCCCTTAGGATGTCAGCTTCCCAACCACCCCCTTACACACACACAGATACACATGCACTCACATGCATGTACACATGAATACAGGCACACACATACACACAGACACACATGCACTCACATGCATATACACATGAATACAGGCACACACATATACAGAGGCACTCACATGCACCCACATGCATGTACACATGAATACACATCATATGTAGGCACACATGCAGGCACACACATACACACTTGCACACATATGCACACCATGGTGAGGTATCAAGAAGAACATACACAATAGTGAAGGGACCTTTCTTAACAATAATAAGAAGATAATGTGGTAATAGTTTAAACAGTTAATACTATGGCCTCTCAAAAATAATCAAAATAACTGTGATGGCCAATTCTAAAAAATGCCGCTGGGCGTGGTGGCTCAAGCCTGTAATCTTAGCACTTTGGGAGGCCGAGGTGGGTGGATCATGAGGTCAGAAGTTTGAGACCAGCCTGGCCGACATAGTGAAACCCTGTCTCTACTAAAAATACAAAAGCTTAGCCGGGCGTGGTGGTGGGCGCATGTAATTGCAGCTACTGGGGAGGCTGAGGCAGGAGAATCATGTGAACCTGGGAGGCGGAGGTTGCAGTGAGCCAAGATCGCACCACTGCACTCCAGCCTGGGCGACAGTGCAAGACACCATCTCAAAAAAATAAATAAATAAAAATAAAAATAAAAAATGCCTCCTCGTCAATGCTGGCACCCATGTGCTGCCATCAGGCTCTGGATGAGCACAAATCAGTTCCTTACACTTTTTTACATGCACTCAAAAGCTCTGTAAAATATAGATTTGTTCAGCATATTTCATCTGGCTATATATATTGGCATATCTATTGGTGGATATATTGTTGTTATATATACTCGACACACACATGCACATTATATACGATGGTGTGTGTTTGCATATGTATACTTATAAGGCTTATAGATAGATGCATGTATATACTTATATACACTATTATGTAAAATGTCCATGTCTACACACATGCATGTAATAGATACGCCTATAAATTTACATACATGTAGACATATGTGTCACATATGCACATGTTCGTGTGGTGTGGGTACTAGTCCCAAATACCTGAAAATCACGTGTGCAAATGAAGATGTGACCAGGACAGTCTCCATCTATTCAGCCAGTGTGTATTGATCATTTACTGACGAGTTCTGGTTTATACACGGCATATATTTCTATCTGAAAAGGTTTCACAGGAAGTTTTGATTTGACCACATAAGGCAAAGCTATGAAAATCTCATGTCTTTAAGCTGCACTGTAATTTCCACCCTGCAAAACATCTTTCGTTATTCCTTGTGACAAACTAATGGAATACTCTAGTGCATAGCTCTGAAGTTTGACTGACATTATTAGAAGCTGATTTGCAAGCCTCTGACTAAAATTGCAGTCCAAAGAGAGGCATTATCTTCTTGGAGATTTTGTAATAAGCATCTTTCCGGCTGGGCACCGTGGCTCACGCCTGTAATCCCAGCACTTTGGGAGGCCGAAACAGTGGATCACCTAAGGTCAGGAATTTGAGACCAGCCTGACCAATATGGTGAAACCCTGTCTCTACATAAAATATGAAAACTAGCTGGGCATGGTGGCGTGCACCTGCAGTCCCAGCTACTCGGGAGGCTGAGGCAGGAGAATCGCTTGAACCCGGGAGGCAGAGGTTGCAGTGAGCCAAGATCACGCCACTGCACTCCAGCTTGGGTGACTGAGCAAGATTCTGTATCAAAAAGAAAAAGAAAAAGAAAAGAAAAGAGAAAATAAGCATTAGCATTCTTCCAGAAAGGAGTTGGACAACTGGAGACACGACTGTGTTGGATTGAGTAAGAACTGCAGGTGTGTCAATGCAGAGGCACTGCCCCGAATATGAGCTGAAGGCACCGCAGAGGGTGGGGGCTGTTCTCCGACTCCGTTTTCCTCCATAATTCCTCCTGTTTAACGGATCTGCTATTCAATGGAAACCATGTTAAAGATTCTGGTCACAGAGCATGTCATGATTTGAAGTGAAGATCTCATCTCTTCCAGTCCTTTTAGGAATTTCCCAAGGAGAAAACCTTGGGAGAGAGGAGAGTTCTCTCCAGGCCACACCTGACTGCTGTCAAGCAATTTCTGGTTACAGTGAAGCAGCAGCCACCGAGTTTTCTTCGCCCCATCAGCAGACATTTCACAACAGCAACACCAAAACGGTGCCCGGT